GGGGGGGCAGGGGGGGGGGGACAGGGCAGGACCAATTGAGGGAAGGGACGGGGTGGAGGGGGACAGGGCAGGACCAATTGAGGGAAGGGACGGGGTGGGGAGGGGCCAGGTAAACCGAGGCACAGGTGAGCAGGGCAAGTATTAGGGAGGATGAAGTGAGGGGCCGCAGGGGCAGGGGTGGGTGGGCTCAGAAACACTGGGCACAGGACAGGCCCCAGGAGCCGAACCACTGTCTGTTCTTGCGGGCCGGGGCGGGGGGTTCACTGAAGACCCGACTCTGCCCACAGGATGCCTATGACATAAACCAGCTGCGCCACCCCTCAGAGCGGAGCACCCTGAGCCTGCCCCTGGGGCCCCCGCTCCACCGGGACGCCCCATTCAGCCACGTGCGCCTCCAGCCTCCACAAGCGCTGCCACACAGCCCTGCAGACATGGCCAATTTCATCAGTGATGTGAGTGCTCTGGGTGTGAGTGCTCTGGGTGTCAGTGCTCTGGGTGTGAGTGCTCTGGGTGTGGGTAGTCTGGGTGTGAGTGCTCTGGGTGTGAGTGCTCTGGGTGTGGGTAGTCTGGGTGTGGGTAGTCTGGGTGTGAGTGCTCTGGGTGTGAGTGCTCTGGGTGTGGGTAGTCTGGGTGTGGGTGCTCTGGGTGTGGATGCTGTGGGTGTATGGGTAGTCTGGGTGTAAGTGCTTGGGTGTGAGTGCTCTGGGGTGTGAGTGCTCTGGGTGTGGGTAGTCTGGGTGTGGGTGCTCTGGGTGTGGGTGTTCTGTGAGTGCTCTAGGTGTGGGTGCTCTGGGTGTGGGTGATCTGGGTGTGGGTGATCTGGGTGTGGGTAGTCTGGGTGTGAGTGCTCTGGGTGTGAGTGCTCTGGGTGTGGGTGCTCTGGGTGTGAGTGCTCTGGGTGTGGGTACTCTGGGTATGGATGCTTGGGTGCTGTGGGGTGTGGGTGCTCTGGGTGTGAGTGCTCTGGAGTATGGATCCTTTGTGGTGTTGATGCTCTGTGTGTGAGTGCTCTGTGTGTGAGTGCTCTGTGTGTGAGTGCTCTGGGTGTGGGTGCTCTGGGTGTGGGTGCTCTGGGTGTGAGTGTTCTGGTGTAAATGCTGTGGGCGTGTGGGTAGTCTGGGTGTGAGTGCTCTGGGTGTGAGTGCTTGGGTATGGGTGCTCTGAGGGTGTAGAGGCAGAACTGTGCATATTTGTATGCACAAATGTGCACAATGCACACATATGTGTACAGAACTGCACATGCACAAATGTGTGTGCAAGTGGACGCATACATGTGCATTTCTTGTGTACAGATACACACATCACACCTTTCCAGGGAATTCTCTAGATACAGGTCCAGCCAGGGTCTTTGGTCTTCATGCTGCAGGCCTTGTCTGGACTCTGGGGCCCCTGGGGTGAGCAGGACCATGAGGCTCTGGTGCGTGCACTCCCAGGTGGGGGCTGGTGGTCACCGTGGAGAGTGGGGGCCTGTGCTGCCCTGGCCGGCCGAGAGGCGCGGAGCTGCCACAGCCCTGCCCACTTTCCTTATTTACTGGGACGGCTGGGCTGGGGACAAGGCATCAGAGCAGGCAGGCCACGGAGCTCACTTTTGTGGCCAGCTGTGGGTGCTGTGCTCATGACACAATATCCGTGTGTGAGATTCCAGAAAATTCATTGGTGTAGCGAGCAGGGTGGGGCCCCTCAGCCATGCTGGACCCAGCAGGAAGCCTGCCTGCTTGCTTGATGCCCAGCCAGGGGGAAAGCCCCAGAATCGTAGAAGCCAGCGAGCCGTTAGGCGCCTCCTGGCGCAGAGGGCTCCGTTCCCTCCTCTCTGCTGGGTAGAAGCCTGCCCTCCGCTGGCTTCTGCTTCTCCTGCGGGGCGGCAGACCTCGTCCTGGCTGAGGCTGAACCCCACACCTTTCCCCAGGGACTGGAGGCTGCGGACAGCGACCCCAGCGTGCCACCCTACGACACGGCTTTGATCTACGACTATGAGGGTGGAGGCTCGGTGGCCGGGACGCTGAGCTCCATCCTGTCCAGTGAGGGGGACGAGGACCAGGACTACAACTACCTCCGGGACTGGGGCCCTCGGTTTGCCAAGCTGGCGGACATGTACGGGCACCCATGAGGCCAGCACCAGAAGCCAGCGTGCTGTCTGGATGCACCTGTCCAGAGGAAGGGCTCCTGGAGACAGGACTCAGGGCAACCTGACCGTGCAGACCCAGCAGACACCCAGTCCTGGCCCCTGGCAAGATGACCTCAATGGGCCAAGACTCAGGGCCTCTGGGCTTCACTCCCAGGGGAGGGCCAGGTGTGGGGACAGGCCTAGGGCCTGAGTGGATCCCCAGGGAGATTGCCTCAGCCGGCACTCGTTACCATCGTGAGTGGCTGGCCCTCTGTATGAAAGCTGGACCCTCAAGGGTGAGTCAGAATTAAAAGCAGGCTGGTCAATTTGATGGACTGTGTGCCCGGTGCCACACTGGCCACAAAGGTGCCCTGCCCCCGCCCCCAGCAGAGCCTCAGCAGGCTGTACCTGGGGGGAGCCAGAGCCCCCTCGCCCCGCCCCTTTCTGTGGGGCAGGGTGGCGGGGAGGCCCTGGGCCCAGGTGCACTCCTGTGCACACGGGTGAGGGAGCCCTGCCAGGCAGCACAGGGACACTGAAAGCTCCCGCTACCCTCCACGCCTCTCCAGGAAGGAACCCAAGGCCTCGAGGGCCAGAGTCCCGGGAGTGGGGGGCTGCCAGGGCACCTCTGTGCCTGGCTTTACCACTTGCCCTCAATAGAACAGTAGGGTCTGGGGGCTGGGAAGGTGGCTCAGTGGTAGAGCGCTTGCCTTGCATGCCTGAGGCCCTGGGTTCGATTCCTCAGCACCATATAAGCAAAAAGAAAAAAGCCAGAAGTGGCGCTGTGGCTCAAGTGGTAGAGCGCTAGCCTTGAGCTGAAGAGCTGAGGGACAGCGCCCAGGAGCAGAGT